GGTGCACAGTCACTTCACTTTACAGCTCGTCCCGTGAAGCACTTCGAGACGTCCCCCCCGTGACTTGAAAGGCGTTGCATCTAAATGCGACAGTAATTATTTACTTAACCATCCTTACAGCTGTCGACTAACCACCTTTATGTAAAGAAATACTTCCTTGTGCCCATCCCTAAAACTGCCCCAATAAAACGGTGCACTGAGTTGACATTCACTAGAATCAGTCCTCGCTGTCGGGCAGCTTCACGGGGTGAGAGCGTAATCGGTTCACGCAGTTGAATGAAATAAATAGAGATGGAACCTTTGGGATTCTCTGTCAGCCTTTGGCAAACTGGTGTGATTCCGATGTAAGCGCCATCCATCCCATTGGCACACAGAGAGAGCGCTGATACTGACGAGGCAGCAGGACAGATCAGTGTATCTGCACCAGTGACGCTTACAGCACCTATTCACTCGTGTTCAACAGTGTTGAATACACTGCACAGAGCGCGCAGTTAATTCCAGTTCGTTGAAGTGACTGCACCGGTTTTGGTGACTGGGAACAAAATCTCCCAACCCTCCCAACGCACAGAATAATTTCAATTCCCGCTCTGGCCTCAGTAGCAATTGCAGTTGGGTCGAGATTAATCGAGATGTTACGCGGTTTGGCCAAAGGGTAAGGCATTGCAATTCAAAGATCTGCCAAGATGTAGTAAACTAGATTCCTTCTGTTTCTTTGTTTTTCTCAGGGTGAAACCTCAGACAAGTTTCCTTACTCCGCACGCCTCTGTTCATCGAGCAGTAGGAAGGAACCCGGATGTTAGTCGATTGGCGGATCACTTTCCAGGGGGTAATATCCCTTCTAATAAATAAATAATTTGGTCAGGCAATCCACGAGTGTTTTGGGGGACGTTACTGCGAGCAATTGGCTGCCGCGTTTCACCCACACAATATACAGTCAATTCACTTTGCAGAATACTCTATGAAGCGCTTTGAGACATCTCAACAACATGATAAAGCGCTAAATCAAATGCAAGGATGATTATTATTATTATTACTATTATTATATTCTTTTCCTCCCCTATGTTCCTAACTCTGTTTTCCAGAATTTGGCAAGTCGTTGGAATTCTCAAAAGAATATTACAGACTTCAAAAATGAAGGCTGTGTTTTAACACTCTGCCAAATTCTGTGATGCTGCATAAATAATAATAATAATCCTTTGCGGTTGATATAAATCTTTATCACGTCTTCGAGACGTCTCAAAGCTCATCGCTGAATATACAGTAAAGCGTAGTGACTGAATAGACCCGGATAGAACTTTCTACCCGTACATTGAGTTTATTGCTTCGCCCACAAAATATCCCGTCAATTCAATTGACAGTATATTCTGTGAAGCGCTTTGAGACGTCTCGAAGACACGATAATGCGCTGTATCAAATGCAAGGATTATTATTATTTGAAATGAACAAGATTGGTCCAGATGAAGAAGGCCCTTTGGCCCATCTGATCTCATCCTTCCTGGATAGACACCCTACCCTCTTCCGTGACAGTATCGAGCTTTTTTTTTAAATGAGTCAAACAATGACTTGTTGTGTACCGTGTAAGACCTCATGAATTTTTTTTCCGGAAAACAGGAATCGCGGTTGAACCAGCCTTTGCCAGTTTAGGCGGTTACAATGCATAATAATGACTCAGGGTAATTTTGACTGTCGAGTGAAACTCACTGAAAAAATGTTGCAAGAATAGAATTGCATTGGTACGACACAGCCCACAGCCCAAGGGCTGTGGAATTGACCTCCAATACTTAATTTTGTTTTATTTCAAACCATCGCAGCGTAATTTACTGGCGGTTACACTCTCTAACATTTGAGTTCTGTTTGTTTTTGGTAAAAATTCGAAGTCGGTGGTGCCCTTGCCTCTAAGGTCAGAAGGTTGTGGGTTCAAGCCCCATGTCAGGACTTTGAGCTACTAGTCTAGACTAACACTCCATTGCAGTGCTCTGGAGCTCTGCCATGTTTGAGGTTGTATTAGACGTTAACCCGATCCCTTGTCTGCCTGTACAGGTGGACATTAAAGATCCCACGGCCCTATTCGAACAGCAAAGGGAATTTCTCTCTCCTGGTGTCCTGGCCAACAATCCTTGGGATGAAATTGGTCATTCGCTTCGTGATATTTCTGTGTGCAAATTGACTGCCCTCGACTACACAGTCACTCCACTTCACGTTATATCCTGTGAAACACTTTGGGACGTCCTCGCTAGGTGAAAGGCACTGTATCAAGGCGAGGATGGATTATTATTATATAAGGATTATTATTATGTGTTGATTCACACTGGAGCGCAGCCACTAAGTTACCATTGCCATCGTTGGTTACCTCTCCCAAGTGACCCTACCTCACATGGGAGACAGCCTACTACAGTGAGCTGGCTATTCAATCTCCAGCTCAGGCTTTGAGACGCAGATGTTTTTGATTTGTGGGAACGGGTTTGGTTTAACTGTACATTTACATTAGTCGCAGCTTGAAAAACATTCCAGGCATTTTCCTTCAGCATCCAGTTTCCAGCCATCGATCTCAGCCCCTCCAGAACGTGCGCACGTATTACAGTGAACATCTGCTTCTCCTTAAAATGTTCTCCTCTTTTCTCCCCTCTCCCCTCATGAATCCAGGGGCACCAGAAACCCTCCACTGCCTCCATCAACCTGGGATTCTTAGGAACCTAGGAAAACGCTAGAAACAAAAATCCCTGAGTGAGGTCCATCGAACTGACCTCAAAGTGAAATAAAAGTTTTTTTTTAAAGTTTTAAAAATGTCAAACATTGCCCTATCTGCCGCTGTCACTCTCTGAAACTCCATAATTCCATCTTGAAGTCCTTCCGACTCCCTTCCTCCCCCCCTCCCTCCCTCACTTCGCTCAAGATCTAACTCTCAAGATGTACCTCTTCGACCGCGCTTTTAGTCATCTCTCCCCTCCCCCCCCGCCTCCGCTCCCCCCTCTTCGGCTCCCACCCCCAGCCAGCAGTGTCGAGCGCTTTGAGACGTCGTCTCGAGGGATAAATGTATGTTGTATCGTACCTCCCAATGGTGGGCCGTGGCAGTGAGGAAGGTTGTTTGGCCTCAGTGACCTTGGTCTAGGGAGAGAAAATTTAGCGTAGATACTTCTTCCTCGTTGACGCCTGATGGGGGTGGGGTGGGGTGGGGAATGGAACGTGTATTTTAGAGGTGAAAAATGCAACATTTGGAAAGCATTGCTGAGCAGGTCTGGTGAGCACTGCCTGGCTGCCGGTGCTGATGCTGTCTGGCAAGCTTTCCCACTGCTTGTCCAGCTAGGACCACCCTACCCATTGGGGTTTGGCTTGTAGGGCTAATAGGAGCTGTGGAGGATGACTCTCTGCCCCCAGTCTGCCCTTTCCAAGTCCTGCCAATGAGCGAGGCTGGGCTGTGCTGTCATCAGCGGTGTCCTGGAATACTGCGAGCCCACCTGGCTCAGGAACCGGACTGGGGAGAGAGAGACCGTCACAAAGGGCTGGCTCGATTCTGACATTCTGTTGCCAAGCGTGTCAGCTTCGAGCATATTCAGCTCCGAGGAGACCCTGCTTACCTCGCCCCGAGGAGGATAGGATAGGCAGCGTTGGGAAATATCACCAGAAGGCCCGCGGAGCGAGGAGTGATCGTGAAAGGATGTTAGCAGGAGTCAGCGGCAGGTTCCAGAGGCAATTGACACCGCAACGACTCATCAGATCCGAAACACCGAGAACCACTGAAATGGGAAAAACAGTTCCGGTGGGCAAAAGTTTTATATTATTAAAACGGTAGAAGAATGAATTAATAAATAAATGAATGAATAAGAGCCTATGTTAAGAATCCGGAGCTACCCTGTGCCCTTTGCTCCAGATTCCACAGTTACATTAGTGTGGTTTTCTAAGCCCTATGGAATTGTTTGGGCATCCATCAGCACAGTCACTACACTTGACAGCGATTCCCTGTGAAGCGCTTTTGGACGTTGGTTGGCTTGTTAGGCGATACACCAAATGAAAGGAGTATTATTACAGCAGCATTTTATACTTAGGGTCACGTCTCTGGGGCTGGGGAGGGGGGGTGAGGCTTTACAAAGTCAGGAGGAGATATTATTTGACCAAACGTGACACTTCAATGTGTGTTTTGACAGCTCAGCCCCACACCATTAAAGCACTCAGGAGAGCCACGGATATGCTTTGGCACGCAACAAACTCCTGATGACTAGTCATTCCAAGCAAAAAAATGACTCAGGGATGAGTTATCGGAAGTGGCGAGTGAGGCAATCGTATAGTAATCCCTCCCAAAAAAAATCAGGTCGCTCAATCCGCAGCCTGTTTGTGGAACGTCGCTGCGCGCAATTGACAGTCGCGTTTTGCCCAGAAAATACACAGTCGCTCCACTCGACAGTATATCCTGTGAAGCGCTTTGAGACGTCTCGACGACGTGATGAGGCGCTGTATCAAATGCAAGGATTATTATTATTATTACTATTATTATTCAAAGCCCAGTAAACACGGCCGGGATACTGAGAGCAACCACGACTTATTAAGCGGTAGTGACAAATTAAGCCATAGGGGTGGTGGTGGGTGGAGGGGGGGGGGGGGAGGGGGGGGTGGGGTTAGTCGAGCTATCAGGAGCTTGCTGCATGACAGAAGTTGCCTTGGGGTTGCATCAGGCAGATGGACAGATGGTTGATGCAACGATGGAAAATGCACCAACGAGCAGGAAAAGACATCCCTTTGATGCAATGAGAAAGGAGGAGTTTGAGAGGCAAAAAGATGAGGTCAGGATTGAGTTGCAAACACACAGAGAGAGAGAGAGAGAGAGAGATGTGGGGGGGGGGGGGGGGTTGGAACCAGCCCAGACATGCAGTCAGCTGCTCAAGCAATTGGTTGTACATTTACTTATGCACGTAGCCATTCGATCCCATCCTATCCCAGCTTGGGGCTGGGCTTGCATTGGCAATGGTCATGTTTACAGTCTGTTTAGGAGGTTATAAAACCTCCCCAGTCACCCCATTCGCAGCTGCAGACCCACATAGGTTGAGCACTGAGCTGCTGGCTGGCTTCAGTGCACAGGAGTGTTGTGCAGGTAAGCAAAGGGCAATCAAAGAGAGAGAAATATATATATATGTGTACACACATCTATAGATAGATCTACATAAAGCTTTGGTTGCAAAACAGTGCCTTGAATTTGTTAGGGTCGAATCTTGCATTGCATTGCAAGTTCTTGATTGGAATAACGTTGCTTTTTCTTTTCTGGTTACTCAAATGGGGGAAAGTAATAACTTGTTATTATTGTGGGGTGGGGTGGAGAAAGGCAGGTGAGGGAGGGAGGGAGGGGGGGGGGGAGAGAGAGAGAGAGAGAGAAAAAAAAAGGGGGTCTGGAAGGGGGAGGTTTGTCATGTTTTTTTAAATAGATTTTTTTTTCCCCCAAAAAAATGAATTGAGAGATTGTGCAATTCGATCTGATGCAGAAATCCCAGCATTGGATAATAAGGTGGTGGTTGTCTGGGGGACTCGAGCAGAGAATGATGAGGGTTTAACTGGTTTGCATTTTCCAGGATGATTTAACGGGCCCTTTAAATGATTTAAATGCCCCAATGCTGCAGAGTCTGTGTCTGTCTGTTTGGGGGAGAGAGAAGGAGAGAGAGAGAGAAAGAGAAACGTTTGCATATTCTGCAGTATATTTCTTTTTAACCAACCCATTTATTTCTCCCTCTATTCGATTTCAGGGCATAAACACTGATAACAGGACTCCATCCATCAAATCATCCATTCAGCCTTAATAACAACACAGCAACAAATACACACACAGACACACACACACACACACATATATATATATATACATACACATCTCCCATCATATTTGTGGCTCCACTGCATTCATTGCTCATTCCCCTTCTCCTTGTGTGGAGGGAGGAAAATATACCCATTTGGAGACCCAGAGAGTCATCGAGAGAATGGTTCAGAACAAGACAACCGAGTTAAAAGGTTTTCATCGCTCATTCAAGGTAAAGAAATTAATGTGTTTGGTTGGGGTATGAATGTGTGTGTGTGTATATATATATATATATAGGGGGGGGCAATAATAGATCTGGCAGTAATGTCTTTTATGGTTTAAATTTGGGGCAAAAGGCTTCCTCCCCCACTTTACGTTATAAATATTTAGTAATGCAATGCATTATTATTAATTATAATTATTATGATTCATTATTATGCATTATTGGTAATGCTTAATAATTATTATTGTATACTTATTATTGTGCTCAGTCAAATGTAAAGCTGCTGTTCGAGTTGGGTTGGTTGGTGGTGTGGAATGAGACTAAGGGGAGGGATTGAGAATCCAATTCTGTGTGGTTGTCCCATTATTCACTGATTATATATTTTTTTCTCTCTCTCTCTTTCTGTCTCTCTGTTTCTCTGTCTTAAATGAGCTTGATGTGATGTGACCGCCTTTGTTGTGTGTGTGTGTACGTGTGTGTGACAAGAGAGAAGTGGGCGAGTTTATTTTAAAAACCCTTATTAGTTTCCACATCCACTTCCTTCCATGTTCTTTGCTTCTTTTTTGCATAAAAGCACACATGAAAATGCAGCATTTTTTTTTGCAAGTGGGAGGAGATCACAGGGAATGAATCCAAATTAGTGGATCTTAAGACCATAGCGCATTTTAATTTTCATTTTGTTTTTTTTATTGAACCTCGTGGGGGTGGGGAGGGGGGGTGGGTTCTGTCGTCGTGCATTTATTTCAGAAAAAGACTTTTTTTTTCGAGTCAAACCCAGTATAAAGCAGGTTTTTTTTTATAAAAAAAGGTGGGGGTGGTGGACCTTTGCTTTAAAAGCCGCAACTTTTCGCTCTTTGTCTATAGATTGATGGTTTTCTCTGCTGTATGTTGATCCCATCTATAGATCGATGTCTCAGAAGGTTCCGTGTGTGTTAGTTACTTACTATTTGTTTTAATCCAAGGGGCAGACTCCTTTTGATGATGATTGCGAAGACACAGGGCCACCTCACATTGAGTCGGTGTTTAACTTTGACTGCCCAAACAGGCCAGGTAGGTTATCACTGAGGGCTCATAAGCGCTGACTGCGTACGTAAACACTAGGCTGACACTCCAGTGCAGCGCTGGGAGAGCGCTGTGTTGGACGGAGCTGCCGTCTTTTCGGATGAGACGTCGAGCCGGGGGTCCAGCTTGCCCGTTTCAGGCGGTCGTTGAAGATCCTGTTCGAAAAGAGGAGGGAGTTTCTCCTGGGTGTCTTGGCTGACCATTTGCCAGATGTGTGATGTGTTTCTGCGCGCGCGTGTGTGTGTGTGCTGTTCTTGAGTGCACTTTGGCCGTTTTGAAGCGATAACCTTATCAAATGCAAGGATTATTATTGTGTAGGCTTGTATCGCTAGATGCTGTTCTAATTGAGTCTCCCCCTCTCTCTCTGGTGCTGTAGATATGCCTTCCAGCCAACCCATAGACATCCCAGATTGCAAAAAGAGAAACAAGAAGAAGAAAAGATGCAGAGCGACAGATAGCTTCAGTGGCAAATTCGAAGGTACGAATCTCTCTCGGCCCTCAGAACAAATGAACCCACTGCCGGCTTTTCACTGAATTTCCAGCGGGCAGTGCCAAATCCGGGAACAGTGTGGGATTTAGCAAAACAATGCAGTGGAACTTGATGCTGTGTTTGCAGCGAAACGGATCGAGGTTTCAAAGCAAAAAATGGGAAGTATTCAGACTAGTGACCCGAAATAACAATGTTCAGTTTATATTAAAAAATATATGAAAACCTGCCACATATATACGCAGATCCGCGTACCAGCAGCTGCACAATGGGTCCACTTTTACACAAGTGCAGCGCTGGAAGACATCTCAACAACTCATACGCTGGATCAAGTGCGAGGAATATATACTGAACATCAATTATGATGTGTGGCTGAACCAAGCCTGAGATTACACCTCTGAGTCACTACCCTGTGTATAAACGCATATCGTTGTTGAGATTAAATCTCTGGTCTTTTATTAGATATGTTTTTTTAAAAACCTCTTGGCATCTTAGGCTTCATCCGTGCTGCTCCTTAACGTCCGGCTTTGTGCAGTGGATACGTAACAAGTGCACGTCTCTGAGGGAAGCAGAACGCTTTAGTTTTTGCTTGATTTTAGCCGTGATTTAAGGGGATGGGATTTGTGTTTTAACACGAGCTGAATCTCCAACGCGAGTTCAATAAAAACCTAACCAGGGATATGCCTTCTATCCCTGTAGCATTGGTGTTGACTGATGTTATGTTGCTGGGTGCCTGTGTCTTCAGAGTTCACTGACAAATTCGGGTCTTTTTTTTAAAAAAAAAATCTTCTTTTCTCCTCCACAGACGTATACAGACTGAAAGAGGAGATGCTGGGGGAGGGGGCGTTTGCCAGGGTACAGACCTGTAGAAACCTCATCACCAACAAGGAGTACGCTGTGAAGGTAAGTGTCTTTGTTGGGGTAGGAGCGGGTGGGAAGGGACTTGACACCATGTGGGCGTTGGTAGCTGAGGAATTTGGGAGACATTGACAGGGTGTGGTTACCTTCGGAAACTACCCTCTGGAATCTTCTGCCCACAGTCCTGCGATAGCGCTCCTGTCGCCAGCAGACCCGAGTTTCTAATAAACCCTAGGAATTCTGCTGCTTGTATTAGCAGGAAATTTAGCTGCTGGTAAATCCACACCGCGAATGACTCCAAGAATCTATCCCAAGCCCAGTGTGTGGCAACCACATCCTGAAATGCTCTTCATTTGAGACCAGACTCCCAATTCCTCCTCCTCACAGTAGAAACAGCCCTGGTTAATATTGGCCACAGTAGCTACACTGAAGTCACGACATAACTTTTTTTTAAAAAAAGCCCCAGTGTTTCAGGTTTGCTGTTTAATGATAATCCTAATAATCCTCGCATTCGATACAGCGCCTAATCACGTCGTTGAGACGTCTCAAAGCGCTTCACGGAATACACTGCAAAGTGAATCGACTGTGTGCTTTGCGGGTGAAATGCGGGCAGCCAGTTGCGCACAGCAGCGTCCCCACAAGCAGTCGTGGATTGAGAGATTTGTTTTTTTGGTGGTGGTGAGGGAGGGTAGAGAGGGAGGAGAGACGGCGTTATTGCAAACCAGCGTCACGTTGAGGTGACATAACTATGGCTTATTTTGAAAAGCTGCTTTGCGTCCTGTCGTTTTGATCGCACAGTCGTTAGCAAGAATGGGGTGTGCGTTACTGTGCGAGGCTGGCGAGGGAACAGACCGCTGGCTTTCTCCCCAGCAAAGTCTGCGCACTTTGAAACCCTCTGCCGTGAGCGCAGGACAGAACCTTCTCAGCTAGCGGAGCAGCCGGGCCTTTTTCGCCCTCTGGATTTCTGTGTGCGCGTCTGTGTGGTGTGTGTGTGTGTGTGTGTGTCTGAGGTTCCTTTGTTTTGCTTGTAATCTGAACTCGCCTTATTGCAAAAGACGGGGGTGGAGAGGGGAGGGAGGGAGGAGGGGTGCGGGGAAACTAGATTGTCCCAACCGAGACTACTTTAGTTTGCAAGCAGCTGGCTATGTTCAGACGTCTAAGACAAACAAAGTCAGTCACGTCTCATGGTGGGGGTGGGAGAGAGGAGGACGGTGGGAGGAGGGGTGAGCGGAAGAGGCGGGGTGCGTTGGTTAGCGGGGGTTGGGGGTGGGGGGTGGCGGGGGGAGGGGAAGCTATGATAGCGCACTGGCTTGGCTGTTTGCAAACTTTTCTTTTCCGGGCAGCTGTTGCTAATTTGAACCTCTGCAGGAGGCTCTTCTGTGCTTTCCGTTCAAGGCAAATTCCCCAACGTGGGGGGGGGGGCGGTGGTGGGGGGGGGTGCAGTTTTTGAACAGAAGAGAAAGCATAGAAGTCAAGAGATGAGGGGTGGTGGGGGTGGGGGGCAGTGTTCGAACAGAAGAAAACGAGCATAGAAGGGGGAACGAGGAGGAGGTGTATGTGTGGGGGTTGGTGAACTGCGCTGAAGGAAATTGTCCGCCTTTTGTTTTTGTGTGTGGTTCAGGGCATTGAACCATAAGTTTTTTGCTTTTTTTTTTGCACCCACACGGAGAGTCCTTTCGAGACATCCCTCCCTACGTGAAAGTCACCCCGTACACACATAATAAACTGTATTGACAGGTCAGTCCCTGGGTTCGTTGTCGCTTTAATGCCACCTATAGAGCTGCAGAGACAGATAAGACACAGATTACAGCATTGAGCGATATCTCCTCGCAACGCAGAGTTGCGTGGTGTGCAAAGATAGGCAGGTCTTGTTTGACCCGGGGTGGGGAGCAGAAATAGGCAGCTCATTGAGTGCGTTAATAACCCCTTCTCAGCCGGGCCATCAGAGAGAGCTGGAGAATTTTTGTGGTCTTGGTTTTGTGTGTGTGTGTGTTTGGAAATAACCAGCGTTGTATCGCTCTCTTCTCGGGTTGCATTGCTCTCGTGCCAGCTTAGGTTAGGTGTCAACTTGGTTGGGTCGGTAACGCTCTCTCCTCCTCTTAAGCGCTCTGAGCCGCTACCACGGGTGAAGGCTCTGTATGAACGCAACTTGTTTTTCCAGTTGGCTGCAAAATTAAGCTCCACATCAGGACTTCGACCTCGCACAGTCTAGGCTGACTCGCCAATGCAGGGCTTGGGCATGGTCAGAGGGACTGCCGTCCTTTGGCTGCTGTCCGCCTGCTCAGGTGGACGTTAAGGATCCCATGGTGCTATTGGAAAAGAGTCCGGAGTTTCTCCTGGTGTCCTGGCCAACAATTTTCCCCAAATGAAATGGGTCACTCACTCCACCGCTGTTTGTTGGACAGCACTGTTCGCAAATTGCCTGCTGCGTTTCACATACAACATTTTTCTCTCTCTCTCTCTCTCTCTCTCTCTGCTGAAATTGCTTGAACCACTTATATCAAGGTTTGCCCAAAGGCTAAATGTATTGTTCACGTGAGATGCTTGCAATTGTCTGCAGTGTTCGAGGGGGCGGGAGAGGGGAAGGGAGCTGGGAGCTACGAGCCACTATCTTTCACTAAGTGGCGATCGCTGGCCGAGATGTCAATTGCCATCACTCTACTGCTGAGGCTCATGCACAATGGCACTGGGTTGTTTGTCCTCTCTTTGAGATGTAGGTCAGCTGTGTGTCTGGTAATCTGGTGTTAACCGTATGTGTCTAGGTCTAATGCTAACACTGGCCTGATCTTGCGCAGCCGCAGGGCATTTAGGGTTAATAACGTCCACTATTAAGGGGGTAAGGGCAAGGGTTAACCCGGCTTAAATACTCTTGACGTCAAATCCACTTTGAAGTTTGTTTTCATGAAGCTGAAACCAAACCTTGCCCAATTTTCCCAAGCCATTGTGTCTCGAAAAATGTGCTTAAAAATATTAGCCGTGTGGCAAATATTACAGTAAAGGTTTGAGCCGAGGAAAACAACCAGTATATGTTTTGTCCCGGACAACAATCCCTCTTCTCCCACCCCCTCCCCCACCACGCCCCGATAAAATCAGTCACTCAATTTTTGGGCAGTTGCTGGGTGCAAATTGGCTGCCACGATTGCCCAGAAATACACATAAAGTCACCGCATTTTAAAGTTTTTTTTAAAAAAAAACCCTGCAAAGTATTTTTTTTTTGTCTCTCATTAACGGCAGGGGTTATTAACCCTGAAACGCTCTGTGACTACGTGCAAGATCAGACCTGATAAGGTGCTGTACCAAACGAGAAGATTAATTTTGTTTATTTAGTTATTTATTTATTAGAATTGACAGCAAAAGGTGGAGCTCGGGTGCCCAGACGCTTAACGGTATGAATTTTCCTGGCAGATCATTGAGAAGAGGCCTGGTCATAGTCGAAGCCGGGTGTTTCGAGAGGTGGAGATGCTGTATCAATGTCAGGGACACAGGTATGCAGCCGCTTTGTGTTAATCCCTCCCGTGATTCCCTACGTCTGTAAACACGCCGGTTGAATCTGCTGACTGGCCCACTTTAGGCCATCAGGCGATTGCCGTAAATAAACTTAGATAATCCTGCCGGGGGTCTAGGAAACGGGCTCACCTTTCGATAGCCTCAGGCCGGCTTAAAACTCTTGCGTAGGGAGTGCAGTTGTTCCCGTGGGGCATTGCGCTTCAATCTTTACTGCCGCTGCTGGGGGAAAAGTGCTGGGGGTCTTTGGCTCGTCCGCTATTTAAAATAGCTGTACAGCGTCTTGGACCCAAGGTTCTGCCGCTGTTGACATCTGTCCATAGTCAGTGACTCCACAAAACAGTCTGATGGACAGTATGTCCTTGAAGCGCTTTGAGATGTGTCCCCCCCACACCCCCCCCCCCCGATGTGAAAGGCGCTATACCCAAATATCATCATCAACTTGTACTTGTAAAGATAGCGCCCGTCACATGGGGCAGCATCTCGGAACGTTTCAATACAGGTTGATTATTATTATAATAATAGAATTAACTGTTGCCTGGTCTTTCTCAGGAACATTCTTGAACTGATTGAATTTTTTGAAGAGGAAGACAAGTTCTACTTGGTTTTTGAGAAAATGAGAGGAGGTATGTTTCACTGTTTGACACAGAGTCTTAGTACAGATCTGAGGTTGCGTGATTCAAACGGCCTCTCCTCTCTTCTCCAACTAGCCCCTGCTTCCCCACTTCCACCTCTTCCCCCGCCCCCACAATAACTGCTACCGCTTACATCAGGGTGGGCCAACTGGTGGCCGACTTCATCCGTTTATCCCCCCACCACCACGCCACCCTCTCCATTTCATCTGGCCCACCTGCTCCCTCCATAACCTGTAAATCTTGTGTTATGTTTCTGAAAGGGCAACACAAAAATATTGCGGATGTTTCTCAAAGAGGGCATCCGGCCCTCAGTAGCCAAAGGTTGGACCATCCACGGCTTAGACAAATTAAAAATGTTAAAAATCCTTGCATTCGATTATATTGGGCAAAGAAAAATTGCATCTTTCTTTCCTGCGATACCCTGGCTACCTTCTCGAAATCGAACACTTCGCTAATGTTTTGCTGCCACGCTAGCTTTGCTATAAGAATGAAAGCCCCTTTTTTTTGTGTGTGTGTGTGTGGTGTCTGGTATCTGGAGTATCCAAACCAGACCAAGAGTTCTGCGTAAGTGTGCCATCTGTGCTTGTCAAATTCCCCGCGCGTGGAATGCAGTGAAATTTGGCTGTCACGTTCGCCCACACAGTTGTCTGTCTTTACAGTAATCCTGTGAAGTGCTTTGAGATGCCCCTGATGAGAAAGTTGCTGTATCGAATGCAAGGATTATTATTATTAATGTTTCAGATGGCTGGGGAAAAAAAAAGTGGGGGTGCACTCTACTGACTATCTGGTATTTTCAGGCTCAGTATTAACGCACATACACAGACGGAAGCACTTCAACGAGCTGGAAGCCAGTATCGTTGTACGGGAAATAGCGAGTGCCCTGGACTACCTTCACAACAAAGGTAACGGTGGATGTCGTCTAGATATGGCTTTAATTAAATATTCTGAATTAATATTAAATATTGTTTAAGGGTGAACAGTTGTTTGGGGGCCTTGTGGTTGGAGCAAAAGGTAGCAAATGTATTTAAGGGATGACTTGATGGCTTATACGAGGGAGAGGAGAATAGGTGAGGTCTCTTGGGGAGTATAAACACCGGTACGGACTAATCATAAGGCTGAAAGTCCTTACTCTGTGCTGTATCACTCTATGTAACATGGGCACTGTACAGTGTGACGGGGAAGTGGGGAACCTTTATTAGCTGGTGTACCCCATGTTTGTGTTCCTGTCATCTCCGCGTTGCTCTGCATTATCGGAGGACGACCGGCTTTAATGGGAAGATGTACATTTGCGATGAGCCCAGTGTGGTTTTTGCCAAACCTCAAATTGCTGTTACAAATTTGGTCAGAAATTTGCCTGAACTGAGCTACAGTTGCATCAGTCCTCGGGTGACAAACTGCCGTGTGAATCTCTGCCCCCACCCTCTGGAACGCCATCGCTCAGTCCCTCCCCTTGCCTCCGTCAAGACTCGTCGGTGCCTTTGGCCCTACCCCCCCCCACCCTCCACCCCCTCCACTAGCTTGGGTGCGGATTCCTGATTGTCCAATGCCTTGGGATGTCCTCCTGACGTGAAAGACGCTATACAAATGTAATTTGTTGTTGAATGAAACACTCAGCACAACAAAGTTGGCACTGAATCCGCTAATGAGGTTCCTATTGTCTCTCAGGTATGGCTCACAGAGACCTGAAACCAGAGAATATCTTGTGCGAGACCCCAGATCAGGTAAGGTGTTGAATACTGATTTTTTTTTAATATGTCTATACATAATCATAATTTTAAAATGATAATTCTTGCTTTTGACATTAGCTCCTTATCACGATGTTGAGACATCTCAAAGCTCTTCACCGAAAATACTATAAAGTGACTTGACTGTATATTTTGTGTGCGAAATGTTTAGTCTTTTAAACGAGGATGTTTGATATTTTTTTAAAAAACACTAAGCAAAGAGTCTCCACGTTAGGATCTCATCCTTCTGGAGACTGTTTGGCTTCAATGCAATATCAGCACTTGAAGGAAAATTCAATGCGGTAGACGTGGGGCAAATCCTATCCTATTTTGGAAGCCTGTCGTTCACTCTGTGGCTGTTTGTGGGACGTTGCTGTGTGCAAATCGGCTGCCTGCAAAAGGCACAGTCACTACGCTTTACTGTAAAGCGCTTCGAGGAGTTTTGACCCAATAAAAAGGTGCCTTAACAAATACAAGGATTATTGAATTGCACTAGAATATTATTATTAATATTCCTTGCACTTGATAGAGCGCCTTATCACGTTGTTGAGGTGTCTCAAAGCGCTTCCCAGGATGTACTGACTAGCGGAGCGACTGTATTTTGCAGGTGAAATGAATCAGCCAATTTACGCTGAGCAGTGTCCTTCAAACATCTGTGGAAGGAGTGACTAATGTTTCTTTGGGGGGTTTGTTGGCTGACGCAGGGAGAAACTCCCTACTCTTTGAACAGTGCCTGGGATCGGTTAGCACCTTTTATCCAAAGGACGGCACCTCCGATAGTGCAGCGCTCCTCCCGGTGCTGTATTGGGAGTGCCAGTCAGCATGCACTGTATGGGTTCCAAGCCCTGAAGTGGGGCTTGGACCCACAACCTTCTGACTCGGAGGGAAAGTGCTACCACTCAGCCCAGCTGACACGTGATTATTGGCTGTTAACCGTCTGAGCCTCCTCGTTGCTGAATCACTTTCACAAGTAACGACTTTCTCCCCTTTCAGCTGTCCCCAGTCAAGATCTGCGACTTCGACTTGGGAAGTGGAATAAAACTGAATGGCGACTGCTCTCCCATCTCCACCCCTGAACTCCTGACACCGGTAAAGACGGAAGGTTTTTAACTCGAGTCGTTAGAGATGAAGCTCTTTCTCTCTCTCTCTCTCTCGCTCTCTCTCTCACTCTCTGCTTGTGAAGTGTGCCATGAAAGGAGTCTTTTACTCGCATGGTTTTTACAACCTGTGACGATTCGCAGCCAAGACACCTTTCACCTGAGGCATCGACTGTCACTCTTAACAAGTTTAGGAAAGTTGGCCGTTCAATAGGGGAAATTAGTATTATTATTAATAATAAATGAATAAATCTTTGAGTGTCTTTCATCTCAAAGTGCTTCACAGGCTTCACCGCAAAGCATTGAATCTGTATTTTGTGGGCAAATTCAGCAGCCAGGCTGCACAGAGTGACGTCCAAAAAACAGCTGTGAAAGCGCTTTGAGGTGCCCCCCCTAACCTGAAAGCCACTCCACCAAATTCAATGCTTTATTATAATTATTACTAATGATTTTCCAATGGCTCTGGGGATGGGCAGGGAGTTGCATTTATAATAATAATAATAATAATCCTTGCATTTGATATGGCGCTTTTCACGTCGGGAGGACGTCCCAAAGCGCTTCACAGAACACACACTGTAAAGTGAATTGACTGTATATTTGTGGGCGAATGCGGCAGCCAATTGCGCACAGCAATGTCCCACAAACAGTCGTAGATTGAAAATGACCAATTTATTATTGTTTTGGTTTTTGGAGGGATTATTATTAGTCTCTGTGTGGAGTAAGGAAACTTGCCCAAGGTTTCGCCCTCTGCCTGGAATTGAACTCGGGTCTCTCGCTTGCAAAGCGGGTGCTCTAACAACTGAGCTACAGGACTCCACATTTATGACGAGTTGCATTTATATTGTCACCAATATTTGTTGATGTGTCTCTGATGGTCGTCATTGAGCCACTGGCTCCAAAGACACCAGGGAAACTGACCTTACACATTGGGGGGAGGCTGTGGTCTCACCAACATATACTCTCGCATTGACCGTACAGCTCCCTCAGTCTCGCTCGCTGCTGTTTTGAGCTCAGCATAAACTCTTGTGTTTGTTGAGATACCAACAACTTGCATTTATATAGCGCTCTTCACACGGGGTAGCGTCCCAGAGCGATTAACAGTGGCGGAATCTGACTCCGAGCGAGAGGGAGGGAGTGGGGAGGTGACTTTTTGAGCATGATCAAAAAAGGTCTTTAGGCGGGATTTGAAAGTGGGGAGGGAGGAGGCAAGACGGAGAGTTCCTGAGCTTCGGGGCGTAGTGACTGTATCAACTCTGTGAACTGCCAGGTGTTTGCGAAAGAGTTGTTTGTCAGGGCTCAGACCCCAAGGGCATTGATATAAATATAAGTTGCTGCTGTTCGTGGCATTTCAGTGTCGCTGAGCGTGGGAGCTTGCCTTGCTTTGTGAGTGTCTGCGCTAATCCTAACTCAAGGCCACGATTTTCCAGCCAACAAGGGTGATTTTCCTCGAAAGAATTCTATTGCGCTTCTTGGGAGATGGGTGATGGTTTCTGTGCTGGCGGTAACGTTGATCTGAACCCACAATACGGGCGAATGTTCAGTTAGTTTTTACCTCCTTCCCAAAAGCCGCTCGAATCTTTTAATGTCCCAAATAACGCGGCGCTGTTCCACCAGAGCCGGTCCTCTCCAGTACCTTGGGCGAAGGGGTTCTGCGCGCGCGCGTGTGCGTGTGTGTGTGTGCAGCACTGGGGGAACACTCTATTGTCAGAGGTGCCATCATTCAGATGAGATTTTAAACTAATCTCCCACCTGTTCAGGCGGACCTTCAAAATTCCTTTGGTACTCTCTGAAAAACGAAGGGAATTTTCCCTTCCAAAGTCCTGGCTGACAATACCACCACACCCCGCGGCCCCCACCCCCATCCCCCAAACACCCAGATAAAAATTACGCACTCACTTAATTTGTGGGACATTGCTATGTGCAAATTGGCTGCTGGGTTTGCAGTCACTCCACTTTAAAGTATATTTCAAGTATATGTGAAGTGCTTTTCGACTGCGTGAAAGGCGCTACATCAAATGGAATGTGTATTATATTGGAATCACGTTATTAGTACGACACAAAATACAGTCAATTCACCGGCAATATATGCCGGTGAGCGCTTTGAGACGTCTCGACTACATGATGAGGCGCCGAATCAAATGTGAGGATTATTGTAATACTTCGTTGAGCGCCAGTCTGCGTTCCGTAGCAGAACCTTGTATCGGCCTCGAGACCTGGCGTCGTTTCACAGAGATCGGAAACTGCCCCCGTGGTGAGAGGGCTTTGCACAGAGTCCTTTCCAGCCATGTTAACATGCCCAGAGTTGCATCAGCTGCTCGAAACGCTGTATGTAGGTCACGGGCTGGCCAAGTGCGTGCCCTGAATAACCGCAGTGATGATGGAATATGACGCAGAAAAATATTGAACGAACGGGAATAATTTGGGGGGGGGCGGGGGAGGAGAGAGAGGATAAAAAAAAAAATCTCAGGATCTCTTCTGTAGCTTCGATTTGACGGCCAGTTGGTTTACTACCGGCTGCGAGGGAGCGACTGCTTTTGTTTCTGTCTGTGTTTGTGTTGTGCTTGGATTTCGTCATCTGCCACTTGGCTTTGTTGGTCGCGCAGAAATTTCCGCCCAGCTCAGCAGTTTGATTCGATTGGTGCAAGAGAAGGAGTTGCACAGAGAGAGCGAGCGAGCGAGGGTGGGGGTGGGGGGGGTTGCGGAGGAGGGACAAAGAACTCGTCAACGAGCTCTACAAAATGGATCTGGCACGTTGCGTTGAGTGGGGGAGGGGGTGCAGAGGAGGAGCTCATCAGCCTACAAGTCACAACAGAGCAAATGCTTCTCCGATCATCTGGTTCTCTTGTTAACCCTTTCGCGGCGACTTTACTTTTCGCCCACACAATGCACAGTCGATTCCCTTTGCAGTGTATCCTGTGAAGCGCTTTGAGACGTCTCGAAGACGTGATTAGGCGCTGCATCAAATGCAAGGATTATTGATTTGTTGTTGTTATTACTAGGACCGTTTTTTCCCCCCCGTGCAGAGCGCTGATGTTTGCCCAACGCCGGGTTCGCCCCGTGCGGAACAAAAGGGCATTGTTTGAACCCAATGAACAGAGATCCCGGCCTGTTTTTTCACGCAGTCTTTCGCCTGTTTCCTCTCTCCGTAACCCGCTGTGTGCCAGGCCAGAGGAACGTGTCTGTTTTAATCTCTAAAATGATCTGGCAAGACGTGCATTGAGCTGCTTCAACGCATTCCACGTCTCTGCACGTGAATGTTTTAATCTTTTCAAAATCTTGTTTAGAAATTTGTCTTATGTGCTGTTTCGGCTTGGTTTCCACTATTTAATGTAAATACTTGAGTATTAATGCATGCGACTACCAGGATGGTCGAATAATAATAATAATAATAATAATCCTTGCATTTGATATAACGCCTCATCACGTCTTCGAGGCGTCTCAAAGCGCTTCACGGTAAAGCAAATTGACTGTATAGTTTGTGGGCGAAACGAGGAGAAACCAATGGTCTATTTTCGTCCAGCAATTCCTATGTTTCTGGAGGGATTTAACCCGCCCTATGTGCAATCCCTGACCGTTCAGTAGGCAAGTCCACAGCCTATCATTTATTGCCTTGTGTCACACAGACCAGGGGGGAAAAGGTCCTGGGTGGGCACTGAGTAGAAGTAGTTCATCTCAGCTGAGCACCTGAAGGTATTCTGCAGTCTCAGTGCGTGTTTGTTGGGGGAGGGATCCCATTCTTTACAGCCTGTTGACTGACTCCGACATAAGGTGACACCTCCCCCACCCTCACCCTGTTACTGATCACTCAGTCGGAGCTGGGGTTTGTTTTTACCTCCAGCCTCCTGCGCCCACAGGTGCGCCGCAGCCCTTTCCGCTACAGTCGAGACTCGCGTTTAACAAGTCCGTCAGATTCCAGACGCTGTGAAATGTTGCGGGTGACTGGAGCCAGGGCAGAAGGCTTGTCAGTGGCGATTTGAATGCATTTCAGCTGCAGGGCGTTTGACATCTATTGGGAGAGGAGGAGAGGGAGGGTGGAGGCTGGGGTGGGCGCTGGTGACGGACAGGGACTTCATTGGGTTTTGGCAATTTTCCTGAAACTCACTGCTTATAGAAGAAGCCTTGCAGCTAACAAAAAAAAACAACAGCAAAGCCCTGGTTTGCATCGTGCTCGTGCCGTTCTGATGACGGACGTGTGGGGAGAGCCTCGCTGGCGACTTGAGTTGCAGAACAGCAACAACAACAACTTGCATTTACATAGCGCGCTGCCCCTCAGGCGGGGGGAGCATCCCAGAGCGCTTAGGATCCCCGGTCCTGTAGTTCTGACCAACACCACAACAACAACAACATTACATTTGTATAGCGCCTTTCACGTCGGGAGGACGTCCCAAGGTGCTGGACAATCAATCCACGACTGACGTGGGACGCTGCTGTGGGCAATTGGCTGCCGCGTTTCGCCTTTTCACCGTATACTCCTTGAAGCGCTTTGAGGCATCTCGAAGAGCCTCAATAAGGCTCTATATCAAATACAAGTCTTATTAAAATTATTATTATTATAATAATAATAACGTGGGTCTGTCTTTGTCCTGAACAGTGTGGGTCTGCCGAGTACATGGCGCCGGAAGTGGTGGAGGCGTTCAATGAAGAGGCCACGATATACGACAAGCGCTGTGACCTGTGGAGCCTGGGAGTCATACTGTACATCATGCTGAGCGGATACCCTCCCTTTGTCGGAAACTGTGGCACTGACTGTGGCTGGGATCGAGGGGAGGCCTGCTTATCCTGCCAAGTGAGTGACCCACGTCTTTTAAAAGGGGGCTTTTCTTTTTTGGCGCTTTTGACGTTTCCGGCTGTTTAAACGCTCTCCCTTCGCTTAAGGTGCGTTGCTTTCGACTGGCGGGTTTTGTGTACCATCCCTCGGGTGAATCTGTGTGTGTGTGTGTGTGTGTGTGCGAGCGTGCTCTGCAGTGTAATGCTTCCCCCCCGCCCCCGCCCCGCACCTGATGTGTAGGAAATCCGTGGGCTCAGCTCTGTGTGATACGTCCAGCGAAGCACTTGACAGGATTTGCTGTGACGTGTAGTTACCGTGCAAAAACGAGTCCTTGTTTATGGGTCGCTTTCCGCACAACAGCGACGACAAAATGACAATAGTAGAGAGCCTTTCACTTCGGGAGGACGTCCCGAGGCGCTGAACAGTCAGGGATTTGGACTGAGACGCTAGAAGAGACGTCAGCGCCAACAGGAAGCGCTGGCGATAACGACGACAACAACAACAGGACCAATACCGGCTTTAAATGAGAGAGCTTGTCCTTAAATGTTAGGTTTGGGGATGGGGGGGGAATGGGGAAGAAATTCCTGGTTTAGAAGCTAATGGTCGCAAGCCCTTTATATTCTCCTTTAGCTGCGTCAGTATTGCCACTCCCACCCGGTCTTGGATGAGTTTATAAAGCGGGGTTGAAAAGGGGCAAAGTGAAGGGACTCTGGGATAGTGTCCAGAGAGTGGGAGGGTGGGGGGGGGGGGATGGCTGAAGGCTCCCTAAACAATGGTGGGCTGAATTGGATATTGGGTGGGGTGCGTGAAATCGGCAACATAGGTCACATGCAAGTTGGGACGCCCAAATGAATAGAGATGTCACATTTGGGTTGCATGTTATTAGGAATGGGTTAGACTGGGTTTGGTTTTGTTTTCATTGCGGGAGGAGGTGGTGAGTGACTGTGAGCTGTGCGAGATCTAAAGGGTTTGAATGTTTTGTTGTTTCTAGAATAATCTGTTCAAGAGCATCCAAGAAGGAAACTACGAGTTCCCAGACAAGGAGTGGGCTCACATCTCCTTTGGAGCCAAAGACCTGATCACGAAGCTCCTGGTCCGAGATGCTAAGAAGAGACTAAGTGCAGCACAAGTGCTTGAGCACCCTTGGGTGCAAGGGGTGAGTCTTGTTTGGGAATCGTGTCAGGCATTGGTTAGAGCACTCGCCTCGCAAACATTAGGATCTGGGTACAATTCCCAGCCGGGGCGAAACCTCAGGCAAGTTTCCTTACTCCACACATCTGTGTTTACCTCGCAGTAGAGACCCAGTTGTTTGTCAGTTGGTGGATTGCTTTCCGGGGGTAATAATCCCTCAAACTTTTTTTTTTAAATTTAAATCGGTCACTCAATCCACGACTGTTTGTGGGACACTGCTGTGCGCGATTGGCTGCCACGTTTCGCCCACAAAATACGCAGTCAATCCATTTAACAGTATATGTCCTGTGAAGTGCTTTGGGACGTCTCAACAAAGTGATAAGGTGCTATATTAATGCAAGGATCATTATACAGTGCGTGTGTTGAGTTATTTGTTCTTTATTTTTCTAGTGTGCTCCAGAGAATACACTTCCATCATCCCGGCTTCTCCAGAGGTAAATGTTCAAACCTTATTTGGGGTCTATCTGTCCTCCTTGGGAGGAGTGGGGGGGGTGGTGGCGGGGGTGAGTAAGCAGAGTCTCCTCGGAGCTCAGCTTGTTGACATGTTTGGCGACAGAATGTCAGCATCAAGTGAAGCCTCTATGTTTCCTGAGCCAGTGCGGGACTCCAGTGCTCTAGGGTAATGCTGTTAACAGATGTCGGGAGGATTTGGATGCTCAAACCAATCACCGGGAGCAGGGAGTTATCCCACTCATCTCGTTTTAACCCTGCAAACCAAAGCCTCCGGGGGCCAAGCAGGGGGAAAGCTTGCCAGACTGATATCAGTGGCAAGTTGTGCAGTTTAAGCTAGTCAGACACTAGCCGTACCCCAATGCACGCTCTGCCCCACCCCCCCTAAGCCTTGTATCCTGCCAACCTGCGCCTGACTCTCTCCGGAATTAGAGAGAGCGCGCGTTCCATTCCAACAACCTATCTCTGGGATTTCCACTTGTAGGTGGAACGGCTGGAATTCTCGGTTTGGTTTGGATACTCTCTTAAGCACGGTGATGGGTTTCCATGTGTGTCAGACACCCGGCTGACCAAAAACAAAACAAAATTGTACTCCTAAATTCCCCAATTTCCGATTCTCCCAATTTCCGATTCGCCCAAGGGCTCCGGGAGGTTACCCTGCGTGAGGGGCACTGTATAAAATGCTCCTTCTTGTTGTTTCTGAAGGCCAATCTTGACTCCTCTTACTCCCTTTTCCCTCAGGAACAGCAGTGCCAAAGACCTGACCTTCTTTGCCGCGGAGGCCATCGCGGTGAATAGGCAGCTGACTCAGAACGAAGAAAATCAGGACGAGGGGAACAGGCCGACCCTCATCAAAGCTACCTCATGCTCCATGCGCCTGTCTCCCCCATCTGAGTCCCAGCTGGCCAAGCGGAGGCAGAGGACGAGCATCATCAAGGCCGTCAATCAGCAACTGCTGGCACCCTTGGTGCTGGTTGGCAATTGTGTATGACAGCCATTCTCCCTCGCTCCCTCCTTCCCTCCTCCCCTCTCGCTCCCTCCCTCCTTCCCTCCAAAGCGCTTGGCGTCCCAACCAGATCCTTTCTGTTGACTGGCTTCCAAAGTCTGGTGACGTTGCCATTGCTGCTTTGCCCAAACGCTGTTTACAACAATGACGCAACCTGAAACAGAGATTATTATGCAAAGCTGTGACGCCATCAGTGGAGGGCAGTGGCAAGCAAGTTAGTGAGGATTGAATCGAGACTTCTAGTCTCTTCGCCAAAGGAATTCTTTTTTTTTCTATGTAATATATATATATTATATATAAAAGTATCAACAACAACAACAAAAAAGCAGGTTTAAATCTGAACTGTGATCGCTCCACATTTCCCCATCGATGAGGAGTGATTCCCTTGGTGCATTCTATGGAATGCTTTCGACCTTGCTCCTCACTCTCTGGGTTTAGCGAGCAGCCAAACGTTTGGGGCAGCTGCAGATTTTTCTTTGGATATTTCAGTTATTTCAGCAGCATCAGAAGCTAAACTAGTTCCACACCTCTGTTTTTTTTTTCCCCCCCCTTTCTTTCTTCGTTTCCCTCCCCCCACACCCCCACCCCCACCACCTGACCGTCTTCTCAAAAGCCCACTCTGCCCTCTCTAGCTGCAAAAAAAAAGACAAGGTTGAAATATTTTGACCAAGGTACTAAATTGAGGAGAAAAGGGTAATCTTTTAATGCATAAGATATAAACATATTGTACCTTCACCCTCTCAACTCTGCCTCTACCCAAGAAGGTTTTGCGGGACACTGCTGTGCTCAATTGGTTGTCACGTTTCGCCCACAAAATACAGTCAATTCACTTTACAGTATATCCTGTGAAGCGCTTTGAGACGTCTCGAAGACGTGATAAGGCGCTGTATCAAATGCAACTACTATTATTATTATACTTATCACCACCCCCTCCCCTCATTTTATTTGATTCGAACTGATGGGTTTTCACAGTGTGTGTCAGTCATTGGGGAAAGGCAAAATCTGATCCAGTGGTGGGGGTGGGGATCGGGAGAGTGTGGTGGTGGGGTGGAGGTTTGGAAGGAGGAAGGAATTATTTTTGTTAACATTTCACCTGCGAAAAGTCATTCCAGCTACAAAAATCAGAGTAGTCTTTCTTTAAGAATCGTCCGAAACCTTCCAAACAAATGGAAACATTTACGTTGTGTTTATGTTGCATTCTAAATGTCGAGGGATAGAAATTCCCACCACCACCACCCCCCCCCCCCAAAAAAAAATCCCCTTTTTGTCTGCAAAGCTATCCGGGCGCAAGTGACACAGACGAAGTGGATTGCGCTTGTGCTTTGATGTCATTTTGAAGCCTTTTACAGTGTCGGAAGGGCAAAGTAGAGCAACGCAAAGCGAATTTGGATACCCCCTCTAAAAGTTTTTCTTTAATTATTGCTACTGTTAACAGTGAAGAGTTTTGTGGGCAGCATTTTGGGCAAAAGAAAAACCCCAAGATGATGCGTGCCCTTCAGATGTGCTAACGGTAGAGTTTGGGGCAAATCCTGATGGAATTCAGCACTTAATCCTCTGTGTACTGTCTGTCTCTTATCAAAGCTGACCCTTATCTACAGGCTGGGCTTGCAGAAACTCTGAAGCTCCATTCTGTTCTGATCACGGTCTCTGTACATTTTGACGCACTGACTACAGAGCGCTCTGTGAGACAATCCACTGCCACCTTCAAAGAAAAAAAAGTTTCCCTTTCGATGAGAAATGTCGCGTCGCTGCAGCAACCAAAATTCCTGCCCAAACCTTTTTAAGACGCTTAAGGCTATCGTCGTTGATTATAACCATTGACGATTCAAAAGAAGTGCATTTCTTCTGTACAAAAAAAATGCATATAGCTGCTTGCACCTTGAGGGGGTAGAGAAAGAGAGACCCTGTTTGCCACTTTCCCCCTTTCAGCTCGGTTTAGGCCCGTGAACTAAAGCACCCTGACATGTCATGGGGGTGGTCAAGGTTGTTGTTGAACCCACTTTTTGCCCCTCAATGAAACCCGCCACAAGCCGCTGTTCTCTCTCCGGGCTGTAACCTTCACTGATCCACACAATGGGAAATTTGCCATCCTTCTGAGCTCAAAGTCTTCCAGGTAACTTTTCTGTGCAAGCACCCGTGGCTCTACAGCCTCCGTCCACCATAAGGTGGACACTGTTTGTACAGCGAATTACCTTTATAACCTGCCTTAGTTGTAAGTTCAAGCCCGAGGAGAGAGAGAGAGAGGGGTGGGGGGGAGAATGCTTGATCGTGATTGAATCCAGGCAAGTTGTGACTTAGCGACTGATCGATCCATTGGCTTTGGCTGAAGTTCAGGTGGGTGGGTGGGTGGATGTTAGCGTGGGACCCTTCTTTGCACCCTTTCCTTCCTCCCCATTGCGATATTATAACCTCCCTCTGATAAATGGTATCCATTCAAACCTCGTTCAGTATTTCTCACCACCCGCCCCCCCACCACCCCACACTCTTTACTTTCTCAAACAAGTTGGAACAGTATTATTAGCAACTGTACAGTACTTTTCCAATGAGATGCTGGTCAGCGCACTCGCGAGGCAGATTGAAACTGTCGAGTACATGGTTACTACTTTTGCTGAATACGACGTGTGTCCCTGTTGTCTTATGCTAAGACTACTTGAATTTTGTATGCATTGCGTCATCTCATTTTGAATGCTACCTGGTGCTGGGGCGGTAAGCACAGCAAGGTTTAGTTTCACATAGGCCATTATCGAGCACTGTTGGGGAATATTAGCTAGCTCCTTAAGGGGCACAAAGCGAAAAGCACTTTACACACCAGGTGACTGATAAGGCTCATCCTACATCTTATTACTGTCATTGCCAGGATTTTTGTATTGTTTTATAAGAATTTTAATAAATGCTTTGACCTTTGAATTGCTGGTGTTTTCGAATCCTTTTGTAACCAAGGAGCCCCGTGGAGTAGCGGTTAGAGCGCTCGCCTCGCAAGCGAGAGGACCTGGGGTCGATTTTTTTTTCCCCCGGCCGGGCGAAAGGCTGAGCAAGTTTCCTTACTCCGCACGCCTCCGCTTACCGAGCAGTAAGCAGCAACCCAGTTGTCCGTCGATTGGCGGATCGCTTTTCCGGAGGTAATAATCCCTTCAAACGAAATTTTTAAAAATCCTAATTTCGTCATTCAATCCACGACTATTCGTGGGACACTGCTGTGTGCAATTGGCTGCTGTTTTTTTTTCCCCTGCAACACACATTCCTACCCTTTACAGTAAACCCACCAAGTGATTCGGTGCCAGCAGTATTATGCGGTCATCACAGGTTGTCACTAGATGGCACTCCAAGCAGGTGCCATTAATGGGGAAATACTCGCTGGAATACATCAACGTAACCAAAACTACGTTGTCCTCCACTAGATTCTACCGACACGCTGCAATAGACCTGTGCGGCAGGCACTGTACGAATGCAAACTGTTGTTGCGATCGCAAGTTCTGTTCCTTGTTCCTGAGCACAAAATGGCTTCGCTACCCAAACAACTCAGCTGTCGGACTTCATGGTGAGCTAACGCAGAGCGCCCTCTGGTGTCCCTCGTTTCAGCAAAGTCACGTTCGTGATCTCAAGGTCACGAGAGCGATGCAGATGAAAGTAGGCCTTTTTTGGCCCAATTGGATCTCGTTTTATGGAAGTGTCCCTCTCGTCCCCTCCAAATGCGACGTCGAGCTGTTTCTCAAACCATCGTGTAGTTGAGACTTACCTGAGTGCAGCCTGATTTATTTTTCTTTTTTATTTAAAAAAAAGATACGCGCAGCAGAACGTGCAAGAAGTTAAATGACGATAAAGCGCAGTGAATGTGTATTTTGTAGGTGAGCCCAGCAGCCGATTTGCGTCCAGCAACGTCCCATGAAGCGAAAGCTGACCGAAAACATGGTCAAAGAGGAAGGGCTTGAGACGAACGTTGAAGGAGGCGAGAGAAGGGGCGAATCATAGGGATGGCGTTCCATACAGGTGGGGGGATGAAAGTGTGGTGGTTAGGGACATGAAGGAGGCTGATGCCCACTGAGTGGAGGGAGGGTTTGAGGCGGTCGCAGAGAGGGTGGGGCAAAAGAAGACCAAAGTCCATCCAGTTTGCTTTCCACCATCCTGGGGGTCACATGCACATGTCATGTCCCAACACTATATACTTTATCTCGCGATATTATTTCCAAACAGAAGTCTATTTAATTTGGGCCAAAGAGTCTTCACCCTTTATCCAAACATCTCTGGTGATCCCAGTGACTGAATTTACTCGCTTTTGGTCAGTAGCTCATTAGCATCACAATGGTGTGACGGGCAGATTTTCTGCTGTTTCCTTGTGTAACAGAAATCGGAGGTGCCTGCTTCAAAAGCAAGCTGGGAAACCTATATAAAAAAATGTTTGAAAGCACCTGTGTTCATCTCCACTTGTAGCGGCTGGAGAAACCCACCCAAAGTCCCATATCGCCTTGGGAAATGAAAGCAAGGTGACCTTGCCAAAGGCTGACAACTTGGAACTAAATCCATAGCAACCAACTCCACCCTCTTAAAATACCTGAGGGGTATTTGTACTAAAAGTATTATTTTCTCTGTCTGTTTCGAGGAAGCAAGACTGGAAAAAGCCTGTGCGGTGGGTGGGAAAGGAAGGAATCCAAATAGGACCTGTTGCTAGCCCAGGCTAAGATAACAACAGGAGGCGAGGAATAGAGGAAGGTTCGAGAGAATCGCGAGGTATGGACATACGCTGATTTACTCTGCGACACGATTGTAAGTTTTACTGTAAGTGTAGGATTGACGTGACACAGGACAAGGAATTTAGCATTTGTAATATGAGAGTGCCATGCACTCAGTTAGAGAATTAACTGAGTATTAACAAATAAATCACCTTCTATCATGCCTGCACTGTTGTTTTTCATGTTAGCATTTCAACTTGGTGTAACTGGACTCTGATCCACTGCTTGTGGGGCGCAAATGAAATATAGTGCAAGGAACCAACCTCGAGAAGGATTTTGAACCCAAGCTCTCGGTGGAATTGACGCTGCGTAAGGGAAACACAATCAGGAGCGCTCTCGCTTCCGAGTCAGGAAATTGTGGGTTCAAGTCCCCACATCGAGACTTTGAGCTCCCATTCTTCTAAGCTGACACTCCGGTGCAGTGATGGGGGGGCGGGGGAGCGCTGCATTGTCAGAGCTGCCATCCTTCTGCTTGTGAAAAAGATCCCACGGCGCTATTTGCAAAGAAAAGCGAGTTTCTCTCTGTGTCTTCTCACAAATTGGCTGCCAGAGTCACTACAA